GGGGGGGGGGGGAGCGGGGGCCGGGGGGAGAAAAGGTACATGCGGGGGAGGGCGGGGGATAGGGCGGGGAGTGCTTCGTACACATACACATACACATACACATACACACAAGGAGGCTGGGATACAGGGCCTGGATCAATCTCTGTGTGGCTAAGCACGAAGTGGGGTTACGAGGTGAGAGGAGAGACGTGGAAGTGCGAGAGCCTCATCATTTCTGTTCTCCATCCCGCTCCCTCACCTTCACCACAACCCACAACAAGGCCTCACACCGAGGGCACCCAACTCCCAACCCCCAACCCCCAACCCAACTGAAAATGGTGGGGACGGGCGCCACCCTCTCCCCCGAGTAGTACTTGTAGAAGGACTGCATGGAGCGGTACTTGGGGGGGCAGGCCATGGTTTCAAGGTCGTCAAGATTCCGTACGGCCTGGAGGGTACAGCAGCGGTATGGCAAGGGCAAAGGTTGGAGCTGGGTGTGGTGGGGGATACGGGGGAGGATACGGATATGGGCCCGGCGGGCTCCAGCCGGGACCTCGGGTGGGTCGGGGGTTGCAGGCCGTCAGATATACATGCAGATATACAGATGGACAGGAATTACCTAACCGACCTGGAAGTCGCCGCAGCAAATGAGCAGGTCGATCTTCTTCCCCTCCCGTTGCTCCAGTAGCTGCAGCGTGGCGTAAATCTTGTCAAGCTCGCCGTGGCAACAACCCTCGATGGCGATCTACGGGCTTGTTAGGGGTTGTTCGGGTTAGTTGGAGTTGGTTGGTGTGGTGGCCGAGATACTGTGGCTGGGTAAGGCTGGGTCAAGGAAAGAGCATTGACGGGGTTGAGTTGGTGGGGGGGGACTAGCTGCGGGTTTGGGGTTGGGAGTTGGTTAACTTGTTGAGACGTGTGTGCGGTGGGTTGGGGGACATTTCAAAGAAGGGAGAGAAGAGGGCTTGTTTTTGAATCTATCTCCAGAGGGGGTGTATCTGGGCGCGTACGGGTAATGTGGGGAATTTGCGTAAGAGCTCACCGTGAGCTTCATGCTGCCCTTCCTGATGTTACTGGTGCTGCGGTTGCTTCCCTTTCGGCTGTTGTCGACGCCGCTAGGTTTCGTGTTACGCACTGCTTTTCGCTGCTGTCGTGCACTGGCTGTTGTTCCGTTAGAGTATGTGCGTGCGGCGCATACGCCGACACTCAGTCGGTCAGGTATTAAAAAAAGATCCAAAACAAAGCTTCGCTTTAAGCCTGTTGAATTCCGAAGAAGCAAGCCGCCCATGAACGGGTCAGTGCTTATACGAAACGAGGGCAGCTTCCGAGGCGCGTCCTATAGACCTTAATATGAAAATTTGGTAAAGAGTAATTTCCTAGGAAGTGCAGAGCTGGTGAAACATCAAAGGTACCTCAGTACGGCTCGTCCGCTCCAAAACAAACCGAACATTGCAACCTTCGTATAATCCCTTAAACATCGGGTCCGTGCTGAATCATAGCTTGGCATTTTATGGATTACCTGAAATGTGGGACTTTTTCCCGTAGAATCCACAACATGCGAGGTCCTGACGCCACGTCGCTTAAAGGCAATACCCGCCCAATCCATCAAACGAAAACAGCATGTCCTAGCCGAGTACGATTATTTAGATCACATCGATGTTGTAGCTCGGCGCAGCGGTCTCGCTTCTCGCCGCGGTGCAACGCGCATTATAACACGGCCGATTCAAGCCAACCACCAGACCCGGCGCAGCCCAGCACGTCATACTCCTCCTCAGCGCAACCGTGCCAAAATCCTTTGATCATCATTAGCACTACGACACGGCGTAGCGCGCTGCTCGCCATTGCGACCAGCAGCTGCGCCATCACGGCGTGCAGCGCTAGCCCGGCTTCAGCTAGCAAACTACCCTTCCTGGATGCTGGCTGGGAGGCCCTGGGAGGCGGCCCCGCAGACCTGGTATTCCCGGAGGAATTCCTGGGAGGTGAGTCATACAAGTAACCTCTGGCTACTTGGACCACGCTGCTTCATACGCACCATCAGCATCGCGTAACAAGTCGGGCCCCGATCCACCACCGCCGACGCTGGTGCGCGCCCCATCCCAACCCAGCCAAGATGGTCCCCATGTGGATGTCTCCCCAACCCCCCAATTTCGGACTTTGGACGCCGGCAGTTTATGCAGTTTCTTGCATATGATTCCCCCCCAATTGACATTATCTAGGTCTCATCATTATCTGGGTCTCATCATCACCTCGGAGGCCTCCCTCTTAGCCGCAGCCCACTCAAGCAAACCAAACCAAACCCCGCCGCGTCCCGCTCCGCAGCGTGGGAGGTAACCAGTGTCCTGACCCGCGTGGATACGCCACTCGGGGAAGAGGCCGTACCCAACCTGGCGGCCGTACGGCGAGCCCAGCGAGAGGACCTCGACCGTCGTACGTCGTACCAGGTGGCCTTTGTGCGCAACGGCACAGGCAGGGTGGTGTACGACAGGCGCTTCAACACGGCATCGATGCTGTCCATGTAGGGACGAGGTTTGGCGGCCTAGGCTTGGGGTGTAGAGGATAGGCGGAGGTGGCGCACGAGCGAGGGGTGTAGTGGGGGGCAGGGTCAGAACATGACTGCGACATGATTGTCGGGTCAGCTGTACGGCGAGGTTGCTTCATTTCGTTATTTCGAGTCTGTGTTTATTCCGTCAGCTGGGTCATCCGGCCTGCTGATGCCAGCTGATCGCTTCGCTTTTTTATTTGCAGTTTGTCAGTTGCATCTACGCGTCTTCTTGTTTTTGAAGGAAGCGGTACCGTACTTGCTGCGCTGAGTGCAGTTCAGCCGCAACCTTTTCTCTCTCTCTCTCCCCCGTGTACAACATACACAAATGCAAATACCCAAGACACGTATGAGAGCGACACATACATGGTGACACTTGGCAGGTCTGCTCGCGGATTGCTCATCATCATTCACCCCCCCCCTCTCATCGTCGTGAGCTTTACTCGCTGTGCTCACTCTCTGTCACCCCCACGGGCCAACCCGGCGTCAACCTCCCACCCAACCCCAACGCTCCCCACCCTCCCCTTGCCCCCGGGGGAGCTTGCTTCTCCCCTCCCCCCTCCTCCTCATCTACAGGTACTACGATAAGACGATGTCGTTTCTGGAGCGCATCTCCTGGGACATCAACGACCCCAACGTGCTCATTTTGTCCATGCCGGTGAGTCATGCCCCCCTCCCAACTTACCCCCCTCCCACTCCCTCCCCCCCCCCGGGTTGCGGAAGGAACCATTTACAGCTTGAGAGGAGAAAAGGGGTCGACTGCGCTGACGTGTCCAAAGCACACCCCACTCATGCACCTCCCCCCCCCCACACACACACACACCAGGGTATGTCGGTGCGCACACGCGTCACGAGGAGGTCGGAGGAGTTCCCCCAGACCGACCGAATTGAAACGTCCGAGGTAGGGCTGTACGACACTATGGCGGCGACTGAGCCTGATGAGGAAACGGGTTTTCTGAAGAGAGGAGTGGAGCGGGTGCCGTGTATGTGTGTGTGGGGGAGGGCGGCGAGTACATGGTGGGGGGGAAGTCATATGCAAGAAACGCAGTGTGTGGTGGGAGGGGGGGGGAGTCTCCCACTTGCGCCAAAGGACGGCACAGGTGTAGGACCGCGACCGGGAGTCTGCGGAGATGGGGACGGAGGCGGGGTCGGGTCGGGGTTGGGCCGGGATAGGAATGATGGCAAGGGAAAGACGGAACCACAAACGAGCGAAGCTGCTGCCAAGGAAAGAGTGTACAAGAAGCAGAAAGCAAGGAGGGAGGGGAAGAGACTTAGGCTTTGACAGGACGTGCCGTGTGCAGTGTGCAGGGGCCCTTCTGGAGGTTTGCTAAGGGGCTGCGGGGCCCGAAACAAGCCGTTAAAAGGCCTCCGCTTCCTTCCCTGTCCCCGTCGCCTGCCTATAAATACCTACCTGCCTACCTACATACCTGCTTAGTACGGACCCCATTGGCATAGTGTGTCTACCAATACCCGGTGGCGCTGTTTGCCTGTTATGACCATCCGTACGGCACAGTACGTGGAGTCCGTGTACGACACTGGGGATGGTGGCGCCCCTCGCATCAAGGCCAGTCAGTGCTTCACCAAGTACAAGTGGCGGAGTGCCGAGGTGGTTGGGGGTGGGGGTGGGTGGGGGTGAGTGAGGACGGGTGCGGGAGTGTGGGTGCGGGTCTTTCTGCCTGTCTGCACGCACACTCCGACCCCGTGTAACACCCTCCCTTTCCCCCATACACACACACGCAGGCCGCTCTACGGGACCAGGGACCCACCATCGTCGCGACCCAGGTGGTGTCCGACTTCCTGACGCCGTACGATGGCGAGCAGCAGTACCTCAAGGCAATGAACAAGCCGTACGCACAGTACACGTACCGTATGGCCTTCCGCCGACCTGCAATCAGTCCTAGCTCCCGTCCCAGTTAGAAACAGCCACAACATTATTGCACGTATACGTGTTTTTAATCATATCGCATCATTGCAAGTGCAGCGCTCCGGATCGCGCCCTCAAACGATATTTAGTTTCGCCATTTCGTTTATCATTCGGCGAGTGCGTTCTTAATTGTGTCAGGTCTGACTGCTGGCGTTAAAGTTTATTAAACGACGGAAAGCCCAAAGTTAAAGAGCGAGGGTGAGAGAGCGAGAGGGTGAGAGAGAGTCCATCTGGAGAGGTCTGCTGTGATATTTTACATTGAAGAGATATCGGCGCGTGCGGCATCGTATGCCGGGAATGTGAAAATCATTTTTTTAAACTGCAGTTGTGATGTGTTAGTTAGCAACGGTACAGCGTGGAAGTCGAATACTGTATCATGCAGACGGCGCGCACTGCGTCCTGGCCAGATGAGGTTTCATATGATACGCCTCACCAACGGGGAGGCCTGAGGACGCTGTTTCGTCTTGAGGCTTCCTCAAAGTCCGGCAGGTAACGCGGTCTCGCCGGCGTTGGCGTCTGGGCATACATTTGTCTAGTTGTCTAGACCTCCGAACTCGTTGTATGTAATAAGAGTCCCTCGCAAACATTGCTGAACGCGAGCTGTCCCTCTCACGCCCCGAGAGCACCCCCCCACGCACTACACTGGACAGAATATCACACCAGACACTTGGGACAGACAGACAGACAGATAGATAGATTGGCAGTCGCACAGGGCCGCAGTTTACCGACGTCCCTCCTTTCTATTAACCTGCTCCCGAACCTCGAGCCCAGCGACCTTATTTGCCTGCCTCACACGTAGACACACACCACTACTACTACCGAGGTATCCAGACTGTGTGTCGAGCAGAGGGGGACAGTCGCCCCTTAAGACGCACCTCCCCTTTCCCCAAAGGGGGGGAGTGATTCGGCGGTCTTGTTCGTCGGGGCAGCAGCGCCTGGACAGTGTCAGGCCCGGATATATCTAAGATATGTAATACATACATACACACAGAATGACTGCTCTGCTCTGTTTCGCTATTTTTTCATTAGAGAACAGCACCCATCTATCCCTCCGAATACATGGTACCGTTCAAGAGTGCCGGTGTGTGTGTGTGTGTGACTTCTGTCCACCTCAGGCATCTGTCACTGTTCAACCAACCATACCCACTCCGCTCTCCCCTCGTACTCCCCGCCCTATCCCCTGGTACCTACAACACACATACATACAATACATGATTACAGACAGGCGCTTTACTTCCAGGCCTTGATTACGCCGTCCCGGCTGGCGGTGAGTAGCAGCCGGCTGCTCCCCGGTGGGTCAGCCACCGCCAGTGCAGTCACAGCGTCCGCGTGGGCCTGGTCGTTGACCCGAACCTGAGGTTGAGCCAGCAGTACATTTTTTGTTCGTACGGCAGCGTATGCGTGCAATACGGCGATATGGTTACTCATGGTAACGGATTTCTGCGCAGTTGGTTTCAGGATTGGGGGTGCAGGGGCGGCTGCATGCAGCACAACACGGTTGAGACGGAACGCGACGCAGGGTGCAAAGCACACACGGACCGCCAAAAGCAAGGAGCAGCAGCTGCAAATCCCCTGAGAAGAGGGCAAGTAGAGGTTTGAATGCTACCCTGGACTGCCCCCCCATGGGGAAGCTGGTTCACCAGCGTTCCCCCCTCCCCATTTCATCAGGTAACGAGGACCACTGGGTGACACACCCGCCACCCAAATGCCCTCACCCAGGCGCCCTCACCAGCTACCGCCAGTGAACGCACGAAGCTCCACATCCTCCCCAATATCGCCCCTTCGTCCTGTATCCCCGAACAACCCCTCTATTCCACATCCACATCAGGGTCCACATTCTGCGGGGGGCCCCCTCTCCTCATCCCGGCCCCAGACAGACATACACACACATACATACATACACACACCGACCCACCCGATCCCTGAGCTCGTGGCAGCTCTCCGTGAGCCGCGATGCGGAGTTGTCCAGCAGACACAGCTCCTCACACACCGCCACGTCACCCACCGCCCGAGTCAGGTACTTGTACCTGACAGGGCGCACAAACGAACAAAAGAAAGAGGACACATTGGGCAAAGAATCAGAGGTGGTGGTGGTGGTGGTAGTGGTAGTGGAGGAGGGGGGAGAGGCAGCTGGAGGGTAGCGACTCAAAGCGGAGGAGGACGCGTGATCAGGGGGAAAGGTGGGAAGAACGGCATCTTATTATAACAACTTATATACATACATACATACATACATTTTTATATATTTATTACATACCTAAATGCATGTAATGTACGACACAATGCCGGTAACAGCACACCACTCCCCCTATCCAAAACCCAACTCAACCCAGCCCGGCCCTCCGCCTCACCTGTACTCGGGCACACTCAGCCCCGAGGCAGCTGTACCGTCACTCAGGGAGTCCCCCGGCCACAGCGGCCCGCACACCGCGTAGCTCCCCGCGGGCCGGCAGGTGTCCCAGTAACGAACCGCCGCATCGCTGCCGCCCCACAGCAGCGCCCCGCCCTGCAGCGACAGCAAGCACCGTGCGCCGGCCGTACGGGGCTGAACGGCCGCGTGCTCAAGTCCAGATCCAGTCGTGCTGGTTGTTGTCCCGGAGATGCCGCCGGGCCCTGCCGTACCCGTGCACGTGCCCGCTGTCCCCCCCGTGGACGACGGGACGCGGTGGGGAGATGGTGGAGATGGCTGTGGCATCAGGGCGGCTGGGACGGTGGCGGCAGCGGCGGCGGCCTCCGCCTCCATGGGACCAAGACAGCGGAGCACCTGACGGGTGAGAGGGGCCGAGGGGTGGCAGCTCATGTCAGTGGTGGCGGTGATGCAGCGTGGGAGAAGCAGGAACTCTACGGCCTGGGCCTGGGGGCCCATTTGGCCGGCCCGCGAGGGAGTGGGTGGGTGGCATTGGGGGGCTCCCTCCCCCCCCAATCCCGCCCCTTTCTGCGCCGGAGAAAAAACACACAAGGCGTCAGCACGTCCCTGATCCCCATTCGTACATCCTTCCCCCCTCAGCACTCATCCCTCTCTTCCTCCACCATTCCCTTCTCTCCGGCCCGCCTCTCTGCACCATACACATCCAACACGAACAAGCCCCTCTTCTCCCCTCTCCCCCCCCCCTCCCCTCCACCCACCCGCCCACTCACCTGCCGGCACCTCCCACTGACGACGTCCCACAGCCCCGCCTCGCCCTGACCGGCAGCCACCCACACAAGAGGACAACCGCTGGAAGAACCAAAACAACCAACCCCGCCGCCGCCGGCAGTGGCGACGGCGGCTGGCTGCCCAGGCGCCAGCCGCCGTGCCGACGACTGTGACTGCCCCTGCCCCTGCCCCTGCGGCTGCCCCTGCGGCTGCAGCTGCTGCTGCAGCTGGCCCTGCTGCGGATGTAGGGATTCTAACGACTGTTGGGACTGGGACTGGGACATCAGTGCCGCGGACGGGGGGACTCTCGCCGGGGGGCCCGTGGCCAGGGCGAGGGCGTCAATGGGGCAGCACAGGGGATGTCGCCACACGTGAACGGACTGCTGGAAGCGAACGTCCCACAGGCAGACGTAGCCACGACTGCTGCCTGTAGCGCCCGGTGGGTGGGTGTGCAGGGAAGCGTGTGTAAGTTTGTTTGTGTGTGGGGGAAGGCGGGGGGTGAGAGAGGGTGGGTAATGAAGGGGCAGGGGAGGGGCGGGGGGTCAGGACCACCCATGATAAGATCGACGAGGGGAATGGAGAGGGGGACGACGCGGGGTATGAGAACCTCGCCATGAGCGGTTCGGGAGCAGCAGAAGCATCACCACCGCCACCACCGGCGCGTCAAAGGCGCCTTAAAAACTGACAACAGTAAAAACTTCCTCCCTCACCCCCTTCTTCCCCCCCTTGCTTCTTTCATACAGTTCCCTCCCGAACCAAACCCTCCCTGGCCCCCCCCACCGGCCCCACCCGTCATGAGCCAGCTGGCTGACTGTGAAGGGTCCGCCAGCAGGTGCTCGGGCAGTCCGTGGGCCGGGGCACACGGCAGCACCCACGCGTCGCGCTGTGTTCGTGTGTCCCAGGCCGTCACTCCCCCCCGCTGGGTGACGTACAACAGCAGGTGGGGACCCCAGGGCTCCACCGTGAGGATGGCGCCCTGCCCGGGAGACAACTGCCGTACTGCCACGACGCCTGGAAGGGAGGGGGGAGCATTGCAAAGTGCGGCCAATACAGCTGTAGCCATGATAGCGACAACAACATCATCAACAAAAACATGGACAACAAAAACAAAAACAAAAACAGAGACCCCTGCAGCAGCGGCAGCAGCAGCACTCCATACCCGTGTACTTGTCCGGCACGCCCCCCTGGCGTGTCGTGTATTCGGGCCGCCACAGGTGCAGTGAGCCAGAGGAGCTGCCCGAAGCCACCGTGGTTCCGGAGCTCCAGGGGGCCCCCCCTTCTCCCCCCGGTGTGCTCCAGGGGCCCCCGCAGCAACACAGCGCGGTGATGCGGCCTGTCTGTGCGGCGTATGTAAGTCGGCTGTGGAAGGCCACGTCGCGCTCCAGACGACGTAGGTCCCACACCTGAGGGGCCCGGGGGGAAAGACGAACCACACACGATTGAAGCTGCTGCCAGGGCAAGAGAGTAGCAAACGTAAAAACTGACCGAAAGGCGTCCGTGGCGACTGTGACGACTGTGACCTCGGGATGACGTCGGGCCCGGGGGGGGGGCGCGCTCGGAGGAGAGAGCAGGATTGGTCAATCGGAGCGGGCCAGGTGGGAGATCGATAGATAGATCGATAGATCGATAGATCGATAGATAGACAGACACATATGGGGTGGGGTCAACCCTTCCCACAATGCACACACACGCACATGCTCAATGCAAACCCAAACAGCCGCAAACCCCCCTTACCACTACTACTACCACCACCACCACCACGCTGCAAACACGTACGCAATCGCACCTTGACTGTCTCATCCGCCGAGGCTGAGGCCAGGAAGCAGCCCCCCGCACCCACTGCCAGCCGGGTCACCCCCCGCCGGTGCTCGGCCAGGTGACCCACAAGCACACCGCGGGGCCGCCACCACCCGCCCCCTCCTCCTCCGCCCCCTCCTCCACCGCCACCGCCACCACCGCCTGCGATCATATCGTTCACAAACAGGTTAAGAGGGCGGGGGGTTTAAGAGGGCGGGGGGTTGTGAGAGAGGAAATAAAAGGCCGGTCAGGTTAAACTTTTGTAGATAGAATAGAATAGAACCCACATCAAAAACACTCGGGAGTTTACCGGGGCAAAACACACACGATGCCGTACTGTGCTGTACTGTACTGTAACTACCACTACCACACCCACCCGCCCACTACCACACCCACCCAGCCAGCCGGCCGAAACAGACCCACCCCCCGCCGAGCCGGCTCCCGCGCCGTCACCTCGGTCGGCTCCCCACAAGAGGTGGGGGGAGGTGGAGTCGGAGGTGAAGGGCCCTGGGGAGGTGCCGTACACCACGACAGGGGTCCAGGGAGGCGGGAATATGATGAGGATGGTGGTGCTGGTGCTGCTGGTGGTGCTGCTGGTGCAATGTGAAGGCTAGTGGGGTCAATCAGTTGCCAACGTCCGAATTGTTGCGAGGGGGCAGTAGTGAGCTGCGGTAAGTGGTTCACTGCTGTGGGCCACTGGCGGGGGGTGCTATGCTCTTTAGTGCTTGAAATTCTCTTATGTCTGCCTGCGTCTATTACTGACGGACAGGTGTGGCGTCACCACCACTTGCGACTCAGCTGAGGATCAATGCACTCAAATACGCAGAAACACAGACAGACAGACAGACAGATGGACAGGTGGACGGACAGACAGTTGTCTTGCTGGTGGTGATGGTGATGGCTGCTGCCCGTGGAACCCCCCTCCCCCCTCCCATCCCCGTTATCCGCGCCTAAACCCTGAGGGGGTTGTTTTTTAACCCCCCTCATCCCTCCCATCCCACCAACCTCCGGAAACAGAGAAGTAGTCCCCGTGTTGCACCGCCGCTCCCAACAATCCGCCACCAGCACCCCCACCGCCGCCGCCGGCACCTATCGGACCCGCGGCAGAAGTCAGAGGCGGCGGCCCCCGCTGCGATAGCGACACCAATCGCCAAGTATCCCGCGCCGCTGCGCCCCGGACATCACTGCCCTCGTCCCCACGAAGCCTCGCCAGCAGACCTGCGAGTCTGCAGAACGGCAGAGCGGCAGAGCGGCAGAGCGGCGTCTCCCCGTGTGTATGTGAGTAACTAATGGGCGACGAGGTTTGGGCGGGATGAGGTGGTGGGCTCATTAAAGAATAGCTCCAGGAATATCCGGGAAGTACCTGAACCCGGCCCTGGAGGAAAAAACCTGGGCTGCCGGGGACATCGTCATCGCGCCGTCACACGCGTCACAAGGTTACAACTATCACCACCACCACCACCTCTCTTATCGCTGGCCCCTTAACCATCCCCTCCTTGCCATCCCCACCGCGCACCTCTCCAGCTGCTGTCGCTCGAGTGGGTCCACCCCCATGGGCTCCCGCGCCAACCGCTCAGCCAGTACGGCCACCCGGGGCTCCAGGGAGGACAACCGCCCGCACAAAGTAGCCAGTGCAGCGGCGTGGCTGCTCAAGCCGGGGCCAGGCACGGCGGCAGCGGCGGACGCCGCCGCGGGGGCAGCGGCGGCTCCGCCGCCGCCAGTCGTGGCAGTAGCAGCGGCGATGGCAGCCGCGGCAGCGGCAGCGGCGCCGCCGGTGCCCTCGGCGCCGGCGGCGGCCAGGGCCGCCGTGGCGGCCGCCGATGGATCCATGGACAGGTCGTACGTGTACAGCGGTGCGGCTGCCGGGACAGGAAGGGAGGGGGCCGGCGGCGGCGGCGGCAGAGATGGTCCGCGGTGGTTATACGCAGGGGCTGGCTGCGGAGGAGGCGGAGGATACCACCCCCACCCCACCCCCATCCCCAGCCCACTGCCCTGCTTTCCCCCCCCCCCTACACACCGCATTCGTCTCCCAGTCAGTCAGTCAGTCAGTCAGTCAGTCAGTCAGTCCAGAGGGGTCTTCGTCACTCACCACAACTCCTTCCCAACCAACGCCCATCACCACACACACACACATCCCCACGCTTACCCTTGACTCGCTGTGTAATTGGACCCCCCGACAGTCACACCTCCACCCCCACTACCCCCACCAATACGAACCCCCCACCCCCAACCCAGTTCGACTCACCGGGTCTTAGGAACAGGTCCCCAAGGTCCTCTGCTCCACACAGCCCCTCCAAGAGGGGGTACCCTTGGAAGCTCACCTCGCCGCTGTCCGCTGGGCCGCCACCACATCCACCGTCACCACCCCCGAGCCGCGGGGGCTCCGGCGCCATTCGCAGCGACGTCGAAGACGATGGAGATGGGTGGGTGCCGCTGGAGGCGGCAGCGGCGGCGGCGGCGGCGCCGCAGCGCAGCGGCGCCGCTAGCTTGTCTCTGGCTGCTGAGAGCGTCTCGGCTGCAGCAGCAGCATCAGCAGCAGCATCAGGGAGTGCGTGTGCGTGCGTGTGCGCGTGTGCGTGTGTGGGAGGGATAAGACAAAGCGTGTGGGGGTGTTGGTGTTAACAGGTCCCTCATCATATGTTCCAAAAGACATGGAAGAGGCAGGTGGTTGGGTGAGGTAAGGTGAAGTGAGATGCGGTGGGGTAGGTGGGGTAGGTGGGGTGGGGTGAGAACCGTTGATGGTGATCAACCGAGGGACTGCAGGTGGGGCGGTGGAGGGCCACCCATCCCCTCCCTACAGAGTTCCCTCCACCCCTCCAAGCCCAACCACCATCATCACCTTGCGCCGCCGCAGAACGACTACTGCCGCTGCTTGTACGGTGGTACGACCGCCTGCCACCACCGCCGCCGCCGCTGCTGCCTCCACCTCCGTCGGGAGCCCCCAGCAGCAGCCGCTGCTGCCGCTCCCCCTCCTCTTCCTCCTCCCCGTCCTGTTCCCCGACATCCCCTCCACCGGCCACCGCCCCGCCGCCGCCGCCGCTTCCTCCTCCTCCTCCTCTTCTTCCTCCTGCCCCACCTGCTCCGTGTGACATCAGGCAGTCCGCTACCAGCTGCTGGTCGGTGAGCAGGGGGGGCATCCTCCGCAAGTACGGCTTCACAAGTACGGCAAGCTGAGCGAACACGTCAGCCAGGGGCAGGTGACTGGGCGGGGCGGGCGGGCAGGGGGAGGGTCGGGGGGGTTTAGGGTTGTAAGAGGAGGAGGTAGACAAGGGAGGAAATATACATGGAGCGCAGGGCGGCAGGGCGGTAGGCAGGGTGGCAGGGGAGGAGGGAAGGAGCAAGCACTGGGTCATCCCCGCCGGCATAACGAACGACAAGGCGGCAGGGCTGCAGCGGCCCAGTGACCCCCTCTCCAACCTTCTTCCCCTCCACCCGCCGGCTAGCTCCCCCTTCACCTCCAAAACCCAAAACATACACACGCGCACACACACACACACATACACACACACGCGCGCACTCCCCCCCTCGCGCCTTACCCCGCTGCTGCCGCCACCAGCGCCACCGCCGACCCGCGCACCACTGGACTCTCGTGTCGCAGCAGCGGCACCACCTTGGCGGCAGCTGACAGCATGGAGCGCTTCCTGAGCTGCGGGGTCACCGCCACCAGACACCGCACCGCGTCACACACCACACGAGGCTCGGAGTCCATCAGGGCCTGAGGAAGTGCTCGGGGGGGTGAGGGGAGGGATCGGGGAGGGG